AACCCCTAACCCTGAACCTTAACCTTAAATCCTAAACTGTTGTCTCCGTCCTGTGCAAAGTGTTGTTGATTCGAGTTTGCTGTCTTGTTCGAAATTCACGCAACATCTTGATTGGTTTATTGCTGTTTGGGGTCTTCGCTGGTGTAATTTTTCATGAGGCAAGAAATCCCCTAATGTTGCTGTCTCAATGATTCTCGACACTGACAGGCTCGCCTCGCCTCTGTAAACATGGATCCCCCTCGTTCCCTAAGTCATGGTACCTACTGGCATCGGCATCTCTGACTGCTAGGTTTCGCAATCTCATTACCTACAAGTACTTGCGGACTATGCACGCCAGTTCTGGACATGTCTTGCCCACTTTCTGTGCAAAGAGACTTCATATCTTCTGCATTCTGTTGATCTCTGGAGCCTGGCGAAAGTTGTCCATTGCTTGGTGCCATCTCTGGTTAACAACGCCGGCTTCTGTAGGACTCCACGTTGCTCAACACGTGTTCGGCGGCGTGAAAAAACACAGATGCCGCTGTACACAAGCGCACGTCCGCGGGCGACCGGCTTGCAGAAACTCTCTTGGCAATGTCGACAGCCGACCGCACTTGATACTTAGGCATGGTGCCAAGGGAGCTCTGGTGACTCGGAATGCGCAATTTGCACTGGCTGTCTTTTCGAGATGCCAGCTGAAACGGCAGCAAGCACACCTTCTCTCAGGTGCTGGAATTGCCGTCCTGCTCATTTACGGGATGTACTTGCACGGAACATGCGGGGCAAGATCTTTCTGGAAGACATGCATTCAAAGAGACAGGTTGGAAAGAAATGCGGCTCCAGGTTCATGCACATGTGAGTTTCCGGACACATCGTAATGTAAACCGCGCCTTCACAAACAATCAATCGGTGGACGAGAATGCCTAGATTCTAGATAACAAGCGTATCAGGTCTGCGCATTTTTCCTCTAATTGAGCATTTCAGTCTCGATGCTTTTCACGCCAGTTTGCTGACCAGGTTGCAGGTGGCACTTTCAGACTCGATGTAGTCAACAAGGTTCGAGCTGCAAGGCTTGTTTTTGACATACCAGTAGGAAAAACAACATGCTCAACCTAGGTTTTGGAAGTATTCTGTCAAAGAATTTCTTTGATTTCGTCATCCTCAGGCCATCTTCGCCTGCGCAGAGCTTTCTGCAGTCCAAACTTCGAGATGCGCACTTTCCGTACTTGGGAAGCTTTAGCAATGAATCTCGTGTCTGCCGAGACTGACATGTATGCCCAGGTATGTATGTGCGTATCTGGAATTCTGCATATGTACTACTGCATGCAGTTTGCATGCATGAGGTGATGTTTGTGCATGCTCATATTGGTGCCTGTGCCGAATTATCATGAAACGGATATGCGTACTCCTATGAACCTGCGTTCATGTTTGCCCCGTTGAAATACGTGAATTCTCTGAGCTATGCAGCAAATGCTCACTTGTTGATGCGGACCAATTCGGTCGATCGGCGGTTTCCTAGGAAAACTGCCAGCAACGAAGCCTTCATAGGATACCGAAGAAACTGAAGAAATGCGCTTTCGTTTTTGTTTCTCAGCCGAACACTGCAACACCACCAAGTGCGGCAAGTGTGTGCAGGCAGGAGAGAGTGAAGGGGAAGGGGTTGTTAATCATCGAACATAAACCGTGAACACACGAATACCAGAACATAGATAATCATTGAGAGACTGTGATAAAGAAAGCTCGTCAACCATGCATCCTTTGTAGACTCCGGGTGCGTATACATGTCTGCGTACATGGTTGTGTAGATTGCCTGCGGAGTGTGCATGCATCCAAAAGATGCATTCATGAAGCCCATCGGGGAAAACTATCATCAGTATCTATTTCGATGCGAGCAGTACTTCGTGAGGACGGCTGTCTCGCGTGCCTGGGATGCATACAAATGCATCAAGGTCTGTGATGTGGCTACCACTTTGGCAGCTCGACGAACAGTGTGCTCTTCTCTGAGCCTGAACGCACCCTTCGTTGATGCCATTTCACAGTAGCCGTCCGAAGTTTGGCAGTCCAGCTTTCAGACTCACTAACGCGGTCTAGTGGGAAGAGTGCACCGTTCATCACATGAATGCAGCCTACTTGACTGGCAAACGCAAGCAAAAGCCAATGAGGTGACGCCCCTCACCACTTGGTGGTCTAGCCGTCTAGCAAAGTACAATTTGCAGCACAGCTCTGTGCAGATGTGCGCTTTGCGCAATCTGCAGACACAGGCCGGGTTTCGGAAAACCCCCAAAAGCAGCATGCTGACGTCTTTCAACCTAATCTACTACGAACTGACTCGGCCAGGCTGTGGGCTTGCTTCAGTGGCTGACAAACTTGGCGGTGCGGATAGGACTCTGGCCCATGTACACGGACTCCACCGCAAGTTTGAAAGGCTGGCTTCGCATTGCGTTCTGCTTCAAAATCATTGCGATGGATCATCGCTCCACGAAAATTCAGAACAGAACCGGCAGGTTCCCGTCCGGGTAGACTTCAGCTTAAAGTTCAACATGGTCTGACGCCGGCCCGCACTGGTGAGCAGCAGGGGCTATCCACGCTCCACGTTGCGTGCAGAGGAACGTCGCTGAGAGGGACTGCTCGAGGGCTTCTCAGGTGTCGTTAAGGCCGTGGACCCCGTGGGCGCCTCGCAGCTCCACAAGGGGGCTACTGCAAAGGTGCAAACGCAAAGGTGCAAACTCCTCTTAAGCTTTGCCTGGAAAAAGCAAGCCCAGCAGCCCAGCCTTCTCCGTCTGGGTAACTATGCTCGACCCGAATCGGGTCGTGAAGTCGGTAAGCTGTGTTTGCAGGCCTGAAGCAAATAAGTCTCGGGATTTGTTCAGGCGCTTCACAGCCTCGTACCGCTGTTTCATGCCACGCGACCCAATTGTGTGTCCTTGACCTCGCGCATGACCTGCAGGAGAAAAGCATCCATTCTCATCCTTGCGCTACATGGAGCGCATGTGTTGCAAGACAATCTGCGGCTGCACAACGTCGAAAGCTTCTCTGCGGAGCCTCTTCAATCACCTGCGTTTGGTGGTTCGTCAACCTCACGTGCTCCGAGACATGCCAACTAACTGCTAGGAGCCGTAAAGACTTGGTGCTCACTCGAATATGGTACCAATCGCTGTGCCAGGATGCACCTGAAAAAGGAACATGGCCCCAAGAATCTCAGAATCACCACCCGGAAGCAAGGCCAACATCATGAGCACCCCCGCGGGCCCGGCGGGCATCCTGCACACCCGAGGGGGCAGGGTACCGTGCGCTGGTTCCGCCTGGTTCCACCTTCCCCTTGTCCGGCGGGATTCAGCGTTCTGCGCCGCAAGACTACAAGGCTTCCTCCGCCTTGTCTTGTGGTTTTCGACTAACGCACCACGGCCGCTTCTCCCCCATGTACTGTGACCGACATACTTCCCCGCCTTGTCTGCTGGGTTTCCAGCATTTAAGCCACAACGAGACCAATGCATGGGATTTTTCAGTGAACGGCGCTTTGCGGAGAATGCGGCCGCACCGATACTTACTTTGTGAATATTTGGACATGAGCATAAACCATGTAAAGCGCCCCAGCAGGAGCACGGAACATTCCGCTTGCACCTCCGCGTGGACTCTAAGCAAGTCTCCTTAAACCGAACGCAAGCACCCAGTAATACTACCAGACTGTTTGTGGCATAGAGGCAACATGACGAGCTGAATGCACCCATTCCCTTCAGACTCTTGCCGAGATACCTCTCTTCGATTTGTGCCAACTCCTTCTTGATGGACTCCGCGCTTCCTGGTCAAGCTTTAAACATAACGGCAAGACCAGCTCAGACACTCTTGGACCCGGACCCCTGCCCAAGCTTGACTCCGGAAGTCAAATCTGATCTCGGGAGACTAAAATGATGACGAGAAGCTGCCGCTGCTGTGTTTCTCGAGACGAGCAGCATTCTCCTTTCCAAGCTGTGCTTCAGAGAAGCGCTGACACACATGCCACGGCTGTGTAGCAGGGACATGCAACCTCGAGGACATGATGCTAGATAACTTCAAGAGAAACCAAAGGATGTGACCGACGGGCCTCCAAGCGTTCGACCATCGTTTCGACTGCTGTGCGGAAACTGCCCTTGGCCACCACAAGGACCGAGCTCAGCTCTGTGGGTAATTATTCCAAAGCTGTCTCGGAATGCTCCCTCGTGTTGCGAGCCGGGCATCTGCGTCGTTGCCCTGCGCCTTCGTGAGCTCCTCTGCCATAATGCCACGCAGCTGGTCAGCTGTGCTGGTGTCCAAGCCTGATAAGCCAACAGCGTGAATTTCACGAGCCAAGCAACGACACGACGAACACTCACGATCACTCACGAATCACAAACAGATTCAGACTTGTACGAAACGCTGCGTTCCACTAGCGCTGAGCGCCTGTGCTGTAAGCAGATCACCGCACACGTAAGGGTTGAACAGCTAATCGCTGCTCAATCTCCCAGGACTCGCGGACCCATTTGGATGGCTAGTCTTTTCCATTCACGGAACTGCCTCATCAACACAGCTAATGCGGCCCGAGGTGTTCAACACGACGGGATTTTGCAGGCAACACAACACAGGGTTACATGTTCAGGTAACAGAAACCCCAGGCCCTATAGTGGTCCGCCAATGCGGGATGAAGCGCTCAATATCACAGGATTGAGGGTTCGATAGCAGAGCTCCAAGTGCTCAAAGGCCGAAGTGTTCAAACAACACATGAGTATACGTTCAACAACAGAGCCCCAAGTGCTCCAACACCGAAGGCTTGAGTTAGCTCCAGCACCGGCTTCTGTGTTCAAGAACGGAGGGTTGTTCAAAAACCACAGGACTACGGGAGTTCAAGAACAGAGCGCAAAGCACAAAGGCTCAATTTGCATGCAACTCCGAAACGATTACCTCATGTAGACAGCGTCACTATACGAATTACAGTTTGAGGAAACCCCTCAGCCACGTTTTCTTATGTCCCATTGTCCCTATCTCTCGTTGGACTCACCCCGTACAGGACACTACCCACTTCCGCCCGAACCTCGGATTCACCAGGCAGTGATCTACTTTCGACAAGCATGTAGGAGTCGGCTTAGGAATGTTTGAGAATCCCAGCAGACGTTTCACCTTGTACAATGTCTTCGGCATATTTGAGAGTGCACATCAAGATTGTTCAGGTGATATAGTTGGTTGACCGGTAGTCTGACAACTTCATGGAGCACCAGCGCAAAAACAAAAGCCCAAGCCTCGGATGGCTTGGAGGCTGTCAGTATTGGTCTGGATGCCGTCGTTGGCGTTCGTCAGAAGATCCATGATCATAAGGTTCCTTCCAGGGAATGCAGAAAGTCAGAGTGGCATGAAGGCTCTTGCGGGCTCCAAGCCCTCCTTTCTTCAGCCAAGATTCTGACGCCGGACGTCCGTCATGCGCTCCTGGGCTGACCGGTTTCTAATGACCCCTTTAGCCAAACGTGGCCTGACGACAAACACCGCCGGTCGCACATGCTGGCATAGCGTCATCCAGGATGGCTGTGGACCGTTCCGTGGCCACCACTGTGCTGCTGCCTTGAACGCAGCATGCATGGGACGTTTGCAGCCTTTAGCCTTTAAAATCCTTTAGCCCTCAATCCAGAGAGGTGACAGCATGTAAATAGGCTTGCCCATGTTAATGAATCTGCTAATGTTTGACACGTCTACTGCGGCTGCCATGCTGCTTTGATCATGCAAAGCAGTAAGCTCATCCTTGAGGGTGGCCATGACCGACTCGGAACTCACCTTTGATGTAGCAACGGGACAGTGTTCATGGCTGATTTGCTTCTCCCCAGAGTGGTAAGTTCGCACACATTCCCCGCTGACCGGCTTCTTTCAGTAGTTCGCACTGGACCCGGCATGGAGACACAGAAGAGGCACCTCCCCGACCCGATCACAGAAACGATCAGGTCGAGAAGAAAGTTTTGCCCCAGGCTTTTGGCAACGATTACTCCTTCGAAAAGCTTTGTCCAACGCCCCTATCCGTAGTCTATCACCGCGTCCTTGACTCGCATCTTCAAACCCCTGAAACCAGCAGTACTGGCGGCAACCAGTGCCACCACGAACAATTGAACTGTCGGCATGTCAGTCGGCGTGGGTATGTTTCTATTGCCAAGGGATCTGGTGTAAGTCTCTGGATGCAAACAGTGCCAAGGAGCTGTGTACGAGGACGTTACCTGAGCAGCGGTCGAAATCCCATCCGGTGTCGATTTTTGTTACAGGAAAGACCCTGACGTACCCAATGAAGGACCGGGACAGAAGCGTCTTCGCATGACCCTTCCTGTCAAAGCACATCTATCCATCCCACGACCAAAGCTGCAAACATGAGCTGTGTTTTTGGCACTGGATAGTGCGCACTTGTCTGCTGCAGGCACAGCTGTCATCCCGCCGTTACACCGAGCAGTCTCTCTTATATTTGGAAAAGAGTCTGTGTCTCCGAGCTCGGTCATCTTTTTTCCCAGCGAGGTTTCGATTTCCATCAAGCGCCGGACCGTCGTGTCGCTTCCAGTCCTTGAGCTGTTGCTACAGCCAGCAGGACAAATGGCCAAGTGGTTACAACATCCTCCCAGAAGCCAAATTAGCTAGGCCCTCGTGTTGACTTTGCAGCGACTCGAAAGCGGTGGGGGAGCTGGGACGAAAGCTCTCTTCATGTAGGAATGCCATGATCGTGATTCGAAAGTTTGACAGGATCGCAGCTGGTGAGCATCAGCGGCATCATGACCACACCGTTTCTCACCCATGAACCCCGGCGTGGCCGTAAAAGGCCCAAAACGGAGCGCAGAATGCCCAGCTGGGGAAGGTTTGGAAACGGAAAACTAGTCCAGACTTCCCCCCGCAATCATACTCACCACGTCTCTAGCCTCAAAGTATGAGAAATAATGACATCAGCGCCGCTCCGTCACGAAGAGCTTTCGTGACTTGCAAGGCAATGGCGCAGAAGTCTTCAAGCCAAGAAGCTCGATCTTGGTAACCATCGTGTTCTGCGTAGATGCGACGGTCTGCAAGATGGACTGAGACTCGACCGTCTTCCGAAGAAGGTCCTGCTGTGTCGAATCCTCGGCTGTCCGTCTAACGACAAGCTTCCTCGGTGGTACTTCCATCAAGCGGCTTTGGGTGGAGTGAAAGTTGTGTAGCTGTGCATCCCTCACTTCAACCCAACCTCAACATAAACAATTTCATGACTGAGGACTTCAGGCTGGGATGATGGACCTTACGCTCCCCCGCAGCTGGTCGATGGCTGCTGCAGCGGGGCTGGTGGCAGGCTACTTCTTGGACGTGCGGTCGTTGTGCCGAAAAACTTTCGGCAGTCATGCTACCAAACTCTCATTTGCAAAAGCTCCCTAAAGTACTATAGTTCTTGGCTTTTAGTGCTGTTGTCTTCTCCTCCATGTATTTTGCACTCCTCTCAAGTTTTACTTACATATTCATTTTTCTGTCTGTTTGTTTGAGCTGCTCTGTTTTTTCTGTTTCCATGTCTATTGTGCACACACCCCTTCCTCAGCCTTCTGCGCTTTGCTGCGTCAGCACGTTTCTGAATCAGCGCGTGTTGTCCCTTCTTGCGCGCCCTTCTGCAGACCGTTTTGCAAGCGATCGCCGTCTCACAGAGATTCCCAGATCGAATGCAAGCCATGTCAGCCATAGTCTTCCGTGAGGAGGCAGTGGACGTTCTGGGTACAGTACCCCCCCCCCGTGGCCGGCTTAAACCGGATATAATCGCCAGCTGAAACCATGGGTTTTCATTATATACTAGAGACCATAACAACAACATATGTAATACATCAAGAAAGCGAAACGTAGGTATATCGTGATTGCACTCTAGAGACGTATCTCTGTACGCACTTAAAGCAAGTGTACAGAACATTTTGTTTCGCCTCATCGCCATTGGCTGGGCTTTCTTGAATCTTCAATGCGATCGACTTCTCACAAAGCCAACGGACCGGACCACGAAGATGGAATCCTGACTGTCAAGAAACGAAAATATAGTTGCGTCGCGGTTGCACATCCAGCATGATACATCAAGAAACCAAACAGACGTGTCTCTGTACGCACTCAATGCAAGTGTAGAACCTTTGGTTTCGCCTCATCGCCATTGACTGGGCTTTCTTGAATTTTTCAATGCGAACTACTTCTCATGATGTCAGCGGACCGGACCACGAAGGTGGAACCCTGACTATCAAGCAATGGAAATATAGTTACGTCACGGTTGCACCCCCAGCGTGATACATCAAGAAACCAGACATAGATGAGATGCGGTTCTGATCATCGATATTGCTCCGTACGCCTCAATGCAGGTCCGGAACATTTCGTTTCGTTTCCTGCTCATCGTTTGGGCTTGCCTGAGTTTACCTGCGAACCAATTCACGTAAAACTATTGAACTGACTCGCTAGAATAGAATCCTGACAATAGCACAGTTGTCAAGAACAAGTTGTACGCCACTGACATCTTTCCGAAAGCCTCCAATGCACATTTTGGCTGTTCGTTTCAACTTCTTGGTCTTGGTCTGAGCTGTCCTGTACTTGTAATCGGAAACGACACACGAGTCATATGTAAATCAGCAAACATATATGTATGAGTTGCTGACATACCGACATGTGACAGACAGACACGCTCAGGAACTGAGAGTCACAGCGACATTCTACCGAATTTTCGTTCTTGGCACTTATGCAAGGATCGAGTGCGCCGTCCATATCAGCTAATATTCTGCGACCTCCGTCCGGGACGGACGATGGGATTCATCACCCGAAGTCGGAAAGGAGTGCGTCGCACGGCGCCTTGGGCAAGTCTTGACAAGAGAAGTCTGGTCCTCCCCGCGGTCTTCAGAAGGAAATGAGAAGCCCTCTACCAGATTCTCTGAAACAGGAAGAGAGCTCACTCCAAGTTA